AGTTTCCTTGCTTGTCAGATGAGGCCAACACTTCCACTTTCCAGGGATCAGGAAAGCATTAAGTTAGAGGTGCTATAAACAGAGATCAGTGGCTTTGCGGGGAGGGGCTGTCCCCACCTGCACCTGCCACCCCAGCCTAGACTCATGAAGTGCCGAGGCACACAGTGGGGAGCATAGATGTTTGCATGCATGCACAAACTGAGGAGCACCCTTACCTCTTGGAGGCGCATACAGCCTTAGCCCCAGGATGAATCAGATAAGCTGGCACTTGGGCCCTGGGAAGACTGTAAGGGTCGAACTTTGCTGAGACCCTTCCCAGAGGCAGATGGAGCAGGACAAGTGGTCAGTCGGGCCAACACAATGGCTGACGGGAAGAGAGGCGCATCTTCTGAGACAGGCTCAGCCTGGGCCAGGCCCAGGTTCCATCATCCCTGACCCCACTGCCAGAGGGCCCAAGCCCTGGTCCCGGCCTCTGACCTGGTGGTGCCACCTCCCTGACCTTGGGGAGCCCTGGGCCTGGTGCACGTGCACCGCATTCCTGCTTACTCCCAGGCTGGATTAGGCAGAGTCCGAGGACGTGCCGGGCTGGCAGGCTCACGGGCGGGGCGGCTGCCGGCACTGGGGCTGCCCTCTGCCGGCTCGGGACTGGGCCGCGGCAAGGCCTTGTATGGCTCTGGCAGGTAACTCGGCCGGCGGCACCCATTGGCTGAGCTGGCACTCCCAGCTGGGGCTGCACGGGCCCCAAACCACGGTAACCAGAGCCGCCGGGAGCTGGTGGATTAGCGTGCCCGCCTGCCCGTCTGCCTGCCCGCCACCAGGGCTGCTCTTTTCCTTTCCTAAAAAGGCAGAGCTGGGTAGGAGAGATGGGCAGGGCAGTTGAACTTGGGCCTGGGGGAGAGGAGGGGTGCAGGTGGCTCTGCCGAGGGTTCGGGAATCCTAGCCTGGCCTTAGGCCAAGCTCCTCCAGGCTCTGGACCTCAGGTTTTGTATCTATAAAAGGGGGCTGTGGGCAGCTGGGTCTCTGTAAAGTGGTTGAGGCCTGATGGGACAGGGGGATGATGGCACAGGTTGGGGGGGGGGGTGCCCCAACCCTGGCCCAGGTTCTAGGCTTGTTAGCAAAGAGGTTCAGATTCCCTTTCCATGGGAAGTCAGCCATTTCCCAAGTGTGGAGACCCAGCTTTAAATCCTACTCTTGCTCCTCAACCACTACAGCCTCACCTCTCCGAACCCTCATCTTCCTCCTCTATCAAGAAGAGGTGATGAGCAGCCCCTCCCTTCATCCACGATGCCCCAGGTCTTAAGAGCAGCCACCTTCTGGACCCCTCCTGCCTGCACTAGACTGCCCCCAGCAATCTCCAGGAAGAGTGTGGTCTCCAAGTCCCATGGTCGGGTTCAGGAGCATGCGCAGGAGCTCCAAGCCCTGCAGACCAGCTGAATCCTGAATTGGGGATCAGGCCAGGCTTGGCTAAGGCTCCAGCAGCAACAGAGAACAGCCTAAGTCCCCCACCCCAAGGTTCTGGGTCAGCTGTAACTGGGGTCTGTGACCTTGCCTCTTGGCAGGATGAGATCTTGAATGCAACGCTTTGTCTGTCAAATGGGAGGGAGGTGTGTGCATAGGAAAGTGACTCAGGAGCTCTAGATAGCACCCAAGGGAGAACTGGTGGCCTGAATGGGGACTGAAAGCCCAGCAGGGCAGGCAAGCCTTAGACCCCGAGGTGGGCTTTTAGGAGAGGGCAGGGGCTGACCTTCAGAGAGGTCACATAGCCTCTGATGCTCTCAAGTTCTGGAACTCAGGCCCTGGCCCTGCTGGTCCACCTCTGCTCAGCCCCAGGTGCAGCTGCCCAGCGTGGCTCCGTGGCCCTGCTGGAAGGCAGGCAGGTGCTAGGGAGGACCCACAGCCTGGTCTGTCTCGGGTCCCTATCTCTGGGGAGAAGAGGCAAGTAGTCTGAGACTCAGGGGCCCCCAGGGCTGGAGTGCAGGATGAACAGAAGGGAGGACTTGAGGGCTCCCAGAGGAGCTGCCTGGAAGCCAGACGGGACTGCTGCCCACTTCCCCTCTAACCAGGTGTGCGTCTTTGGCTGACAGGGTCTTTGGAACTTGTGTTTTTCTAGTGGGAACAGTAACTAGCATCTTTCCAGTGGTCGGAAGGGCTACAAATTAGGCTGTGGCATGCGGGACATGGGGTCTGCACAGACACTGTCCCAGGCCTGCTGGGCCTTGGCTCTCCCCGGCCTGGATCCCGGCTCTTCCTGAGCACTCTGCCCGGCGGCTGCTCCATAAGTGGTTCCGCATCTTTCCTCACTCTGTGATGTCAGGCGCCATCTTTGCTCCCGAGGCCTCTTGCAGACCATTATTTTTTTTCATTCCCTGCCCACACAGTGAACTGTTGCTGACATTAGCTCCTCTCCCGGCACTTCCGAGAAGTTCTAGCCTTGAGTGACTGCTATTAAGGCTATTTACAAATATCTCTGGTTGTGGCTGTTAGGCCTAGCTGTGTCACTTGCTTTGGCCAATGAAATGTGAGTGGAGGGATGTTGTTTCCGGGTAGACGCAGTCAGTGGTCAGTGCCAGGAAGCATGGCTCCCTCCTTCCCTCTGCCTCTGGCCCCGGCGCATAGGACAGAGTGTTTAGAGTCTGCATCACCAAGGGCTGCAGTGAGAACTCTGCTGACCCAACTGCAACAACTGGAGGGGGAAGCCAACTTTCGTGCATTCAACTTGAATTTCTGGGGCGCTTGTTTCTGCAGCACGATGACACTGATACACTCTGACTGATACACTCTGACTGATACACTCTGGCTCCTGGCTAGATCCATCAGCTGTGATCTCACCTGCCACCTGCATGACGCATGCAGCACCTGAGACACCAGCTTCCTGTCTCTTCTTCTGCAGGGTGCTCTCTTCCATGGAACCCGTACCTGGGCCCACACTGCCTGCGCCTCTATTGTCTCATTTCTGGAGTAATGAGCTAGGTCAAATCACAACCTTCCTTTCTTGATTTTTATCCCCATTCACTGTCACTTGACCACTGGCCTCTCCCCATTGTCCACCCCTCCTGTTCGTTTCCTTCTGAGCCCTTGGATCCAGTGGCCCATAACCTCACCTCTTCATGTGGCAATACCCCCAACTCCTATTCGCTGCGTCCTTCTGTCCCATGGCCTGACTGGACCCCCACCCTGGACGAGTCTACCTGACTGCCCATCCCGTGCCCAATAGGGCTCCGGGAGACCACGCACTGAGCAGAAGCAGCCCTCAGGCTTGGTGCTGCCTGGTGCCTTCTATTTCCTGGGCTTTCTCCTGTTTCCTGACGGTTCATTCACACATTCTCATGTCTCTGGTCTTCCCGCCCTGCAGCTTCCTCCTCCCCTCTCTGCAGGCGGCCTCACTCTGTTTCAGAGAATATTCCCTGCCGTAAGGCTGTCCACTTGCTGTCACTAAACAGACATGCTGACTTTCCTTTGGGTCCCACAGTGGGAGAGTGTCTGCCTCTCCTAATTGAGCTTGATTCTGACCACATCATTCCCATCAGCCCCCAACATACTCAGCTCTCTTCCTTAGACCTCATGCCCCCTCTAGCTACCGCCCAGCTCCTCTATCCTCACCCCCAGGCTCCTGGAAGGTGTCCAGATTGCTGCCCCACTTTCCTACTCTCTCCTTACTCTTCACCATCACCTCTCCTTCCACTCAGCCCCATCAAACACCCAGCAGCACCCATGAAGGCCTGGAGCACAGTGCCCAGCAGTGCCTGGCCAGCTTTTCCCAAGGCCAGAGGGGACTCCTAGTTGCTGAAACAGACTCTCTTAGGTTCTTAGTGTGAACTTGCAGGCAGTGTTTGACTCAGGCTCCTTGATTGTCCATCCACCTCTTTGGCCCTTGTGGTGACTTCTCCTCCAGGCAGGCCCTTTGCAGTTTTCCAGGAAAGGTCTCCAGGGTGAGTCACAATCATCCTACTCCCGAGCCTTTGTTCTCTCCCCACAGCAGTTAAGGCTGTGACAGAGGATTAATGACATCATTATTTGCTTAAGGATGGTTCCTCCCATTGGAATGGAAGTTCTTCCAGGGCGGGACTGTGTCAGTTTGGCTCAATCTTGTACCCATGGATGGTGTCTCACTGGCTCCCAGCACACAGGGTTGAATACAAAAGGTAGGGACCCGCCTATCTTTTTCATCTTTGTAATCACCCTGTGCATTGAGAGATGCTAAGAGTATTTGAAGGCTTACTCTCTTCAAGCTCTCTTAGCCACCCTGATAGTCAGCACCTCATCTAATCCTCACACCCTAAGAAATGAATGCAGACCCCAAGCCACATGGTGTTGGAACAAGCCTCTACAGATTTAGGAGATGGGGGGCCCAGAGAGGTTCTGTAACTTGCCCAAGATCACATAGTAAGTAACTGTGTCATGACCTGAGTCAGAGGGTAACCCCCTCCCCACCCAATTAAGTCCCCATCCTAATCCCCAGCACCTGTGAATGTGATGAGTCTTTGCAGATGTCATAAAGTTAAGGACCTTGGAGACATGTTTAGAGGAGAAGACAAAGGGGAAGGAGACACCAGAGAAGGCAGTGATGTGGTAGCAGAGGCAGAGATGGGAGGGAGGGAAGCCCAGGGTTTTCCACAACACCCAGACGCTAGGAGCACGCATGGAGAAGATCTCCCCCAGAGCCTCCGGAAGGACCAGATCTGCCAACACCTTGACTTCAGACTTCTGGCCTCCAGAGCTCTGAGAGAAGAGCGCTGTAACTTGACACTATCTAGTTGGTGGTTCTGCGCTGCAGCAACCCTAAGGAGTAAGAAAAGAGCCCACGGCACGTGGCAGCGGCCCTGGTGCCCCGTGGGTGGCCGTGGGCACAGGGCTCCTGGGCTGTGTGACCGCGGCCTAGTCACTTGCCGCCTCTGGGCCTAGTTGTGCTGGAGCTCTGTAGTTAAACTGAGGTGAGAGGCCAGTGCCCAGCTCTGACATTCTACACCCTGAAGAGTAAGTAGGAGTCGAGCAAGCCAGGCTGTGTTGGGATCTTCAAATTTATTCCAACGTGCTGTTTTGTTTTTTTGTTTTTGTTTTTGTTGTTTTTTTTTAAAAAATACGCTCTGGCTGGACATAGCCAGAGCTGTAATAAAGGCAATTATTATACTTGTAAAAACTTCTCATTCACAGTACAGATGTAATTTACAACAAAGGTCACACATCAATACTGAGCATTTTTCTCCTTTTGTACACCACACTCTGTGCTTTAGACCTGCGTGGATTTTTTGTGGATTTTTTTTTTTTTTTGCACTGCTATACACCATACTGACATTGCAAGATGCAAGTGTAGAAACTGGAATTTAAATAAAATTACAGGCAAACTACCCCATCCATGTGTGGCTGCTGTACATATCTACAGTACAATTTTTGGAATGTATTGCCGTTTAAGAACATAGAAACTCTCTACAGACAATGTCACATACAGAATACATACACCTTTTAGAAAAAAGGCAAATATTTATCTTACAGAGAGCATGTATCTTACATTTGCCTACACATTTCTCTTCTCTTCTTAACACTAGATTTAGTAAAGTGATCTGAAGTGCCGAAGCGGTTTGCTAATGGAAAGCAGACTGGATTCACGATACAGAAGCAGAGTTTGTGGAACAGGCCTTCTGGAACTTTCTCCCCTGGTCACGGCTGTTGATCTGTCCCCAAGGATGGTGGCCCAGGCAGAACTTTGCTTTAAGAGGGTTTGTCTGGAGAAAGGACCAGCGAGCAGTTCAGCTCAGACGTATTGCTTGTTCTAGTGTGAAAGGGCTGGATGAGAATGGAGAAGGGGCTAGAAGGATCTGGAAGCTAATTCTTTCCGACTTTCTCCACAGAGGGAGGCAGACGGACTCTGGGTCTAGAAGCTGGAAGTCATGGAAGAGGGACAGTGGGCAGTTGTTGCTGTCAGGTTCCTGGAAAGACTCAGTGTTCAGAGGAGATATGAGCTGTGAGTGGGAGAATCTCTGCGGCAACAGGAAGCAGGGAGAAAGGAGCCCTGGAGAGGAAGAGGGTGAGTCCCAGAGTGACCCCGAGATTGCCACGGGTGAAGTGCGTCCTGCAGTGGGTGTGAGGGACAGGTGGCTCCGAAGCCCCTGCCGGGGGGAGGGTTGGCTCTGACACTTCAGCAAGTTGACTCCTCTCCCCCACCCCGCGCCCCCCAGCAACACCCGAGACTAGAGGGGGCAGCATTAACTAGCCGAGCCATCTCTGCACACCCCAGCAGGGATCAAACTGGAAACTCAGGGGCAGGGGACTGTGGCAAGACCTGGAGCACGGCCTTCCAAGTTGTGAAGGTGTATGTGGGCCGGGGCTCCGCGCTGGGGGAGCAGGAAGACTGGCAGACAGGGTAGAACTGTGCCAGGCCACCCAGCCCCGCTGATGGCATGGCATGGAGTCCCTCCCCAGGACATCCGTGCTGGGCCACACACCCACGCGGTGTGTCCCTGTCTCTCCAGCGACTCCCGCCTCTGCTACCCCTGCTTGTGCCCGTGGGCCCCAGTGACCATGAGGATTTCTCCCTGCGGCCTAGGATGACTAGGTTTCCCAGGAGGGAGTACAGGGAACCCACGTCCAGGAGGTGCAGGGCCAGGCGGAGGGGCATGATCACCCTCAAGGTGAGGGGCTGGTCCAGCAGATGCCCAGCCTGCTGCTTTATAGGTCTGAGGCTGGAAGATCTTGCCCAGAGTATTACAAACCTGGGCTGAAGCAATGCCCTCAGTCTAGCAGCCAGGTGCCAGGGCTTGGGGTACCCAGTACTGGGCAGCCCAGTAGGCCAGGGCTGGAAGGCCAGGGGAGGGGAAGCTCAGGCTCCTCCCCACTTCCTCCCAGCCAGGGAGTGCCAATATGGTTGAGGCAGGACTTGCTGCAGGATGGGTGCAGGTCCTAGAGGTTGGGTCAGAGAGCCAGGAACAGCTGGCTAAGCCCATTGAGCAACCTGGAGCCCCGCCGCCCCCTGGGGCCCCTTCCCATCACCCTCCTCTCTCTCGGCTTAGCTCTAAGAGAGGTTAAAGGAAGTGAACAGGTGGTCTGGCTGAAGACCGGACCTGTGGCCAATTTGGCTACCCAGCAGGTGCGGAGCAGGGGGAGTCCTGAACTAGCAGGAGGCGGAGTTAGGACCAGAGACCCCTGGAAGCACCCCTGCCCTCCCCGCTTTCTTACGTCCTGGCTGACAGCATCAACAGTCAGAAGCGCCCGCAAGGCAGGTGTAGTACCACCCAGTGGAGGCCCAGAGTTGGCTCCGGAGGCCCCGTGGCCAGAGAGTGGCATCAGCTCCCGGTCTGGGTGGGCTCACGTGGTCCCTGTGCTTTCTCCCCTGTAGGACAAAGAATATAATTTCCGGAAGTTTGGGGATAATCCCACTTCTCCCTCAGCAGGGTAAATACGCTTGGGGTGTTCATTTCTGGGCCTATAATTTTTCTTACAAAGGAGTTTTCACCCCAGGAAATGCTGGGAAACTTCTCGAAGGTGGAGAGGGGGATGTGGAAGGAGACAGGCTGGTCTGGGTGGCTTTACAGAAGAATTCAAATTGCTCAGGACTATGAAATAATTCTCTAGGTCCAGCGAATCCGAGGGGCCTGGGACAAGTATAAACATCATCTTAGCCCTCCCTCTCTCTTGCCTTTTATTTTTTTAATGAGATTTAAGCCCACAAACAGGCACAAGAGGGTCCTACCAGGCATGGTGTCAGGACATCCTTGGGACAGTGTGTGTGGGGTCGAGGGGGCCAGTCCTGCTGTACAAAAGGGACTGAGATCCCTGCAAACGTCCAGCAAAGAGGAAACAGCCCTTTCGACCCCAGGGACCGAGCATGAAAGCTGAGCCTTGGCCTCTGGCACGGCCACGCTTTGCACCTTGAGCTGCGCACCCCGGGCCTGGATCCGGCCGCGTCAGCCCTGCGGGCTGCTTCTAGAACAGGGAGCATGGCCTGTGGCAAGCTCAGGAACCAGGAGATGAACCGAGGGCTCCTTTCCCAGCTGGGGCGAGGAGCAGGGGTGCCGTGTGCAGTCACGGGTGGGATCTGGGCACCCACTGGCCCAGCGCCAGGTGGGTCCTGACTCAGACACCGGCCATGTGGGAGCCCTGAGGCAGGCAGCCAGGTCCCACCTTCTACCTGCATCTCTTATTTGTGATGAAGTCCTGGGAAGGCAACATTTTCTTGTTCTTGGGGGAAAGTTGGATCTTTCTGAGCCTGTCCATACAGGTGAGTGGGGTCTTCCTGCCTGGTCCATGTCCCTCTGCCTGGGGCCACTGGGCTTTCTGGGCTGGTGACAGGGCTGACTACTAGCCAGGGTGGGGTAAAGCAACAATAAATAGGAACCATGAAGATCTGTACATAGGAGAGCTTGCGTTTATATTTAATGATATATATTTTAAAATTCTTGCTTTTTTCCTCCCTTAGTGCATGCCCTTTCCCTCTGTGATGGGCTGCCTCTGGCCAGCCTTGGAGGGCAGTGGCCACCACCTACATCCTTTTTCAAAAAAGCACAAAATATTCACAGCCTTAAACTCTTGTGGGTTCTTTTGCATGTGTGTGATGTGTTTTGTTTCTTTTCAAGCAACAGAAAGTATAGAAAAGGCACAGGTAACTGCATACGTGGAACGACGTCACAGATGAGGGCTGAGCAGAGGCTGCCTGGACAGGTGGACAGATGGACAGGTGGCAGAAGGCGCTCACGGGAGCAAGGCGAATTCAGGAAGTTGTCTGGAAACGTCTGTTGCTGAACACCGGAAGCCAGAAGCTGAAGGGGCCGGAGAGAGGCTACGTGTTTGGGGAGCCCCTACCCTCTGGCTGGCGCGGAGATGCCCCAAGCTCCCCACTTCCTGAGGGCTCCGGGGAGCCCTGACTGGTCCTGGGTTCCCCAGAGAGGTTCCTCCTCCTCCGGGCAGGGAAGCGAGTGGCAGCCTCGGCCAGGCAGCCCACGGAACTGCTTCGGTCCAGCGGTGGGACGGCAGAGGCCTTGGGGTGAGCCGCCGTGTGTGGTGACTCCAAGCGGGGGCTCCAGGACGCTGGCCGGTGGCCCTGGGGTGGCCAGGCCAAGGCCTCGGGCGGGGTACAGGGTCTGTGTGTGGGCTCTGTGGGCACCTCAGCCACACGGGGCCCCCAGTCAGGAGGCCTGCCCAGGCTCCTGCTAGTCCTCTCTCTCTCCTTGGGGTAGTCCCTGTCCTCCAGCTCCGAGGAGAGTGTGAACTTGGAGACCTTAGCCACGGGGGACACGGAGGCAGACGAGCTCTCGGTGGGACTCCAGCGGCCTCGCTCCTGGGCCTCCCGGGCCCCTGTTAGGTCGCTGCCGCCCCCTGAGAAGCCGCTGACCCAGGCCGCAGCGGGGCCCGGCAGCAGGGCAGGGTGGGCCCCCGGCCGGGCCTGCACCATCTGGATCCCACCGATGGGAATCAAGGGGCACGGGGCACGGGCCAAGTGCTGGGAGTGCAGAGGGAGGTGGCTGAAGATGTTCTCCTCTGTCCGGGATGGGGAGTGGCCGTGGAAGTCATGGGGGGCGGAGAAGGTTCGGGAGGAGAGAGGATGAGCAGGGCCAGGTGAGCAGGAGGGACTTCGGGACTCGGCCTTCTGCTGGAGTCAGAAAACAAGACAGGGTAAGGCTGGGTTACCTGCCGGGCCAGGGAGAGCCGAGGTCTAGGGGCGAGGAGCGGGCACCTCGGGGCACAGAGGAAGCCCCAGCTCAGCCGTCCCGATCCGCAGCCCAGCTCCCTTCCCGGGTGCTGCCCCTTCCTGACTGTGCTGTCTGGGACAGGCTCAGCCCAGTCCCCAGCCCCCAGCCCCCCACTTACGCCGGCTTCACAGCCTCCCTGCCTCCGGCCAGCACTCCTATCCCCAGAGGAAGGCGCTGCCCTGGCCAGCCCGGGCTCTGCTGCCCTCCAGGCCCATCTCTCTTGGCTGACCACCTCCCTTGTTCCTGGGGTGGTCTGGACCCCACTTTAGCACTGGATGTGAGCTCCTACTCCAGGCTCTTGACCTCCTGCTGCCACCAGGAATTTTAACATGCCCCCAAATTAAAAAACCAAGCCGACATTCCTATATGACACCCTTCTCCGAGCTGCCTCTGAAAGCGCCAGATGGTACTGCTGCTGGGTCCTGACAGTGTGGCGACAGTGAGGCGCTGGGTGGCAAAGCTGCCAGCGGTGGTGGTGTCAGTGCTGGGTCACCGGTGCTGACCGGGACAGTGTTGATGGCAGTGATGGGAATGGTGGTGGCAACGGTCACGGTGATGGGACAACACTGATGAAGCTGGTGGGGACACAGTGGCATGGCGGAGTGTCAGGGTGGCAGCAGGGGCCAGCACTGATGGCTGGACAGGGCTGGCATGGGCTGTGCTGTCTCTGATGTGCTGGTGCAGATGTTGGGGGGCCGAGGGTTGTGGCTAAGTCCACCCGTGGCTCAAAGCGCGGGAGGGTGGTATAAGTATTTGCACCCACATTCAAGGCCACGCCACTTGCCAGTGTAGACCCCGGACTGGATCCTGGTAGCCTAGTTCCAGAGTCCATGCTCTGCTGCTTTCACGGCAACATTAACTGGTTCCTGGCACCCGTGTTGGGCCTGCAAACACCTGCTATCACACGTGACCCCCAAACTGGCCGGGATGTTCGGGTCCAGGCCTGAAGCCTTGGGAAGTGTACTTGTGGGTCTCCCCCTGACCCCACCAATAGTCCTCCCACTGCCCGAGCACTGGTAGGAACTGGGGCAGGCACTTACCCACGTGGGGGTGCAGGTCTCGGGGCTTCTGCCAAGGAGCTTGTGAGGTAGAGGCGCGGGCAGGAACAGAGCCCGCGGGGCCAGCCCTGAGCCTGGGCCAGGCTCACCCGCCGAGGGGCTGCTGGGCCCGGCCGAGGTCCACTTTCCTGGCAGCGCTGACAGCGGTGGTGACTCAGTCTGGCCCGGAGACCATCTCCTGGTGGGCGAGTATCTGGGGGGGCCTGGGTCTGTGGCACTCTCGCATTCAGGGGGTAGATGCCTTCCTGGGGGGCGGCAGGTGAGCGGAGATAGCTCAAGTCTTGGAGCTCCACAAGGATGAGGCCGTGTCTGGGTGCCAGGAGGGCTTGGGGCTGCGGCCTGTGACTCTCGGGCCGGTGAATATCGCTGGGGAGACGTGTCGCTCTTGGTTAGTGAGTGTTTGTGGATAAGCGGTGGGCGGCTGGCCGTTTCTTTGCTTGGGGACCACGACCCTCTTGGGGACGTCGTCTTGGGGCTCAGGGCCAAGCCTGTGTCCTTCTCCGTGGGGCCTGAAGGGGCCAGTCCCGGCCGGGGGAGGCACAGGATGCTTTGGCTGGATGGGGAGCAACTGCCAGCTACCGAGTGCTTGACTTCTGAGACCGAGCTGCCCTGAGTGGCCTGGTCACCAGAGGCGCTGTCTGGGGGCCGAGGGCCCTGAGCAGGCGAGGAGTCTGGTGGGCCTGGTCGAGGCACCTCCATGGACGTTCCAGAAGGCTCGTCCTGGCTCTCCTCTTCCTCCTCATCCTCATCTTCGTCCAGGTCTGAATCTGAGTCCGAGTCCTCCAGGTCTGAAAACTGGTGTTCGGCCACGGCCTCTGAGCCCTCTCGCCCTTCCAAGTCCTGGAATGGGTCGTCACTGGTTCCTGCGGGGAAGACAGCAGACTCAGGGTCACGCCTGCCCCCAAGGCAGCCCCTCTCTCCACCCCCAGTTTCTGGTCTGCAAGTAGCCACTGCAGCAAGGTTGTTGAGAAGATGCGGGATATAGCAGATCTGAGGAAGACTCTGTCAATAATCATGGTGAACAACTACAGTAACTACCTTATCCCAGGTTCAGGTCTAAAGGCTTCACATGATTCATTCATTTAGTCCTCAAAGAAGCCTGTGAGGTCAGCACTGTACATATCTTCATGGTACAAATGAGGAAACTGAGGTAGGCGAAATTAACTTGCCCTGGTAAGGTACCTACAGCAAATAATTCAAGGTTTTTTTTTTTTTCCCCCATTACTAACTCAGTGTTGGCTCCACCATGTGCAAGTTACATCATTTTGCTGTGCCTCAGTCTCCCCCTTTGTCAACTGGACATGATACTCTCATCCCACAGGATTTACCCAGCGCAGTAAATATGCCCCTAGCACACAGCCAGGGCTCGAGTAATCATGGTCCCTCTTAATACATCCATGAAATCTGCTATTTCAGGCATGCTGGCCGAGACAGTAGCCCTGAGCTGCAGTCAGCCTGAAACACATCTGCCCATGTGGCCGGGAGGCCGCTGGCCGCTGTGACGGCAGCTGGCAGGTGACAGGCCCAGGCCTCCGTGCAGTGTTGGCTGAGCTGGCCTCGGGCTATAAAGCAGGCCCCCATCCAGCTGCTCTCGTCCAAAGGCGCTGGGCCCCTGCAAGATCCGGGCAGCTCCCAGCTGGGAGCGTGGGGCTTCGCCAGAGCAGTCACTGGTGCGGCTTCTCTTGAAGCAGCCCCAAGCAGCTGGGTGGCCTCTCACATGCTGGGCACATCTGAGAGGGGCAGCAGCGGAAGCCCCTGCTAAGCTTGGCCCCCCTGGCAGACTCCTGAAGGGCTGGGTGTCCCTAGGTGGGCTGGAGTGTGATGATGTCAGTCAGAGTGAGTGACAGAGTGAGTGCTGGTATCAGGGCTGAGCCAGCCCAGCTCACTCAGACACGTCAGCCCTCATCCCGCTACGGACCACAAGAGCAGGACCCATAAGCTGACGGTGCAAGCAGACTTCCAAACCCCAGCCTGCTGACCTGCCGAGGGGCCAGAAAGCCAGCACTTCCAAAATGGCTCCACAGGCATCAGTAAGATGCAGGGGATGGGCAGCGGGCGTGTGCAGAAGGCTGTGTGTCAAACACCATTGGTGGAGCTGGGGCTGGCAGGCAGAAGGCAGGGGGCTCTTGGCAGTGGGAGCAGGTGAGGTGAGGCCCTGGGGGGTGAGGGCGGGCCTGGGGTGCAAAGCACAATGCACGTTTGCCCCAAGCATTTATTTCCCTGCACATAACCTTAGGGGGGCCAGGAATTCTCCTAGCCCTACCCCTCATTTACATAAGGGGAGATCCAGGTCCAGAGGGGGCCAGTGTTCCCCAAGATCACTCAGGAGCAGTGGCTGAGTCAGAACTCAACCACTGTATTGTGACAGGACTCAGCCCTGTCTTATGACACTGCCAGTTTAAAAATACTTTCTACACATCGAGAAGCCGGAAATGGTCTGGGTTGGAATCCCAGCTGCATCCCTTCCTTGCTGTGTGGGCCTCCCTTGTGGCACAGGGGTTAAGTGCTACGTGGTGCTGGATAATGTACTTTCTGTTTCCAGTTTCCTCATCTGTGAATGAGTGTGAGGGTAATAAAAGCCTGATGAAGCTGCTGGGGGCGACGGTGAGGGTCTTCCACCTATAAGTGCCCAGTAAGCCTCGGCTGTTCCCATCCCAAGGACCCCACCATCTCAGCAGACTGGTAGGTCAGAGGCAGTGCTATGAGGGTGGCAGTCAGGACTGGAATCTCCAGGTATCCTGCTGGGAGGCCTCTTAAAGACCCTTTCACTGAAGACAAAGTGATGGGAGTTGAGGGTTCCCCTTTCCCAAGCAGGTTTTGCCAGGCCCCTTACATCTGGCTCCTGCAAGGCTATCTGGGATGCCCGTGTCTGGGAAGTCCAAACTCAAGGCTCCCGGTGGAGATGCCGGCCACTGATGGGATCACCACCAGGACACCACAAAGCCAGCCAGTTCTGGGCCTTCACAGGTGACCTTGCGGCACACCAAGAGGTCTGACCACACGGTGGCGCTACTGCTCAACCTCGCTACCCAGGGAGGACTGCAGCGCCCGCTGGCCACCAGGGGGCAGTCATCCTGCAGATGTAATTTTGTCTGAATCTTACTCATTATGGAACTGATCATTCTGTCATCCAGGCTTAGGCCACAGCCTGGGAGTTACCCTTGGTTCCTCATTTCTTCGGCTCCCCCCTCCACCTTCTCCCCACAGTGTGTTAACAAAAGATGCAGGCTGTTTTTCTAGAATGTATCCAGAATTGGACCCCTTCCCCCATCTCTACTCAGCTCGCCTTTTCCAAATTAACTTGCTGGAGCGCTCACTGACCTCAGCTTCCCCTGCGGGGGAAGCCCTTCCCGGACTCTGCCTGGCTCCCTGACCCCTTGCCGAGGCGCTCACCGCCTTCCAGTCTTCACTTGTTCTCTGGTCTTGCACCATTATCCTCATACCCTGTCCTAGTGCACCTTTGTTGAATGCCCCGTTCCCCTCTGGCACCAGAATGGAAGGAATGCGTGGACTTCGTCCTAAAGTTGGACTTCTGGCTCATTGGGAAACTGAGGCTGGGAGAGGGGCAGGGACCAGAGGGGGATACCTACAGTGGTGCCAATTGCAACATGCTAGCCTCAACCCCCACCCCGACTCCGGGCTTGGCTTCAGCGGCCACACCAGCCCACCAGGCACTGGGGTGGGTCAGCCAGGGTGAGAGACATGAGTGCCTCCCCCATGATGAGGATTCTCTGAAATGGCCTGCTGTGCACACTGTAATAAGTCTGGTCATGCCAACTTGATTTGGGGAAAGAGCCCCAAGTACATTGTGTTCTGCTCAATAAAGTTGGTTTAATGAACTAAAAGGACCTATGGCCTAACTTTTGCCAGACTGTAAATGTATCTCCAAAATAGAAAAGAAGAGCAGAACACGACAGAGGGCCGGACAGACACACATACGCCTTTTTTAACCCTGACTCTGATTCTAGGCAATATGGTCAAAGGTTTGCCTGGTGTAGGCCACCCCCTGCTGTGGGGTCTGGCCCTCTATCTGCACCCCAAAGCCCCTTGGGTCTCCTCTCTGGGTGCTGAGGGAGGGGGGCTGCCCAGCAGGCCACCGCCGCCTTTGAGTCACCTCCTCTGACCTGTCTACTCAGGCCTCTAGCTGTGGATGGAGAACAGCAACCGGAGTGCAGTGCTGGAAGGGGGTGCGAGGGGGCCCTGGGAAGGCTGACTCTGGCTCTCTTGAGGGCCTCGCAGCTCCGAAAGACCCTGGCGTCAGGCCAGGCCACAGCCTGCAGGTGTGACGTGGCTGTGGAGCCTATGTGCCTCAGTGTCGTTGTGCAGATCTGCTGGGGTCGCCTTCAGAGCCTGCCTGACAAATTGTGGCCGGTCAGCCGATGTTGCTATAGTCACTCATGTGTTCATTTATCCAGCGTACATAACTGAGCCCCTGGGAGTGCCGGGGGGCCACGTGCACAGTGGTCGGACCACAGTCACAACGGCTGTGCAGCACACAGGAGGCCTGGAGGGATGATGCCTCCGTGAACACAACCTCTGTCTCCCAGCGAGGGGGAGACCGGGAGGACAAGGCCGGGGAAGAAGAGGAAGGGGAGGGGGAGAGGGGGCAGGGGGAGGGGGCAGAAAGGAAGCAGAAGGGGAAGGAGGAGGAGCGAGTGTGGAGGGTGCGAGGGAGATGGGGCGGAGGCCAGGTGGCGGTCAGCAGTCCATTACCTTCTTCGGCTTCCAGCTCCTCCAGCACCCCCATCTCTTGGCACTTTTTGCTATGGGCCTTCGACTTCATGTGCTTAGTCAGATTCCCTGGAAGGAAATGAGAACTGACTCAGGCTCGGCCGAGGGCTGGGGGCAGGCCTGGGGCACGCAGAGGCAGTGCCTGGCTGGCAGGCCATGATTTTCCAGACCCGTTGAGACCTGGCCAGCTGCAGGAGCTGGGCAGGCCCGGGGCCTCCCTCTGCCCAGGCTCTCAGGCTGGAATATGAGGCATAGATGTCATTAAGGCTGTGCCTGGGAGACAGGTGGGGGGCTTGGGGCCATGAGGTGACCGAGGATATAATGAGGAAGTGACATGCTGGTTAAAAAAAAAACAAGCAAGAAATTAAAAGACAATTTATGTGCAATACGTTTTTCCTGCTTTTGGTTTTACTTAAGTGGGTGACCGGCACCAAGCAGGAGTGTCAGCCAGCTCAAACACTGGGACTACAAAGGCCCCATTAGCCAGCACGGCGGAGGCTCTGAGGTCTCTCTTCTGGCTGAGGAGACATCTGGGGCAGCCCACAGGGAAGAACCGTAGGGTTTGGGAAGAGGAACCAAAGCTGCATTAGAAATGGAGCAGAAGGTGGAGGAAAGCGCTGGACAGGGACCGGGGGCCACAGCCCTGGGCTTCATGAGGAGTCATGTCCCTTCCCGGGGAATTTTTCCTCCAGGTCCCCGTGCTGTGCACACACAGTGGGGTGCACACAGGGAAGCCTGGCAAAGGTTCCGCCAGGCTGCACACCTCCAAGGCCCTCAGGGAGTAACTGAGAACGGGTGGTCAGACCAGCCCCGCGGAGCAGGGTGGCCGCTCTGTGGCGCTGAGACCAAAGTAGCAAAACCTCCATTCCCCCCTCCCCCCACCCGAGTGCACAGCACTTGCAGATGGGCGCTGTGAAGGAGGGGTGCTGCACCCAGCCACCCCGAGGGGTGCGGCCAGCTGCCTCAGGGTGTTCTTTCAGGCTAGCAGCCACCTCCAAACACGCTCACGGTGGCTCTGCACCTTGCTATATTGCTCTACAGTGGTCCACATATCAATTACAAGTCCTCTGAGGGGCTCCGACTCACTCATCCTATTCACTGGTAAGTTTGGAAGGATGGACACCTGGAATATATACGCACGGGGGCGGGTGGGTGGTGGGTGGATAAGAAACATGTGGAGTGAAGAAGGACGGGGTGGCGACAGAGGAGTGGGCTCCTGGAGGAGATGCTGACGGCAGAAAGATGAGCACAGGAGAGTGGATGGCCTCAGTAAACGGGCAGTGAGAGGGAAATGCGTCAGCAGGGTTAGCAGGACGGAGATCTAGAGAGGGATGGAGGCCGGGTGGAGCGGAGGGCAGGGCGGCTGGGCGACGCTCTATAAAGGCGTGGGCGAAGGACGGGAGGGGAGACGGCCGGATGGCACCAGGACCCGGGAGCACCGGGAGGACGTGAGAGAGACGGCGGGTAGGATGCGCTTGCAGGACATGACCGTGGAGGGGGAGCAGAGAGAGGTGGGCAGGGGTGCTTGTGAATCACTTGCAGAGTTTTAAGGGAACGTCTTAGGGTGTCACTGAATGGGTAACGGGAACTCTAAGCTGGGGTTCACCGAGGTGCGCAGGCGCCGGCAGCGGGGATGAAGAGGAGCTGTGTTTCCTCTCATTAGTGCTAGCTCTGCGCTGTCAGATCAGCTTTTCCTCCCATGACTGGACAGACACCTGGCTATTCTGCTCCTGGCGAAGGAGCCACTTCCAGAGTCATCCCAGGGCCAGAGGGCCCCCGGCAATTCCTATGCCTCTGCCCTCACAGGTGTGAGCAGGACAAGAGGTGCTGGGAGGCACCAGGGGTCCCCATGGGCCGGAGACGCTCACTCCCCCCTGAAGGTCTGGAACCGGCCCACTGTGCCCCCGAAGACCTCAGACCACCGAGGACTGCGAACACCTCTCGTTCTGGCTCGGCCATCATCGAACGTTTCAGCCCGGAAGGTTTGGGTCTCTGTTCGACCCAGTTAGGTGCCGCATGCGTGCAGTGGCCAGAGCAGGAACGTTCTTTCCAACACAGAAGCAAAGTGCAGGAGGGAACCTCGCCGACCCTGTGATTCACCCCGCTGCAGACCCCGTTTCCCTCCCCTGGTCTAACTGAGCCTAGGTGACGCCGTCACTGTCTCAGCCACCGGGATGCTGCGGGGGCGCCCGCTGACCAACGCCTTAGCCCCTCTAGAACCAGCTCTCGGGGCTGCTTGCTCCACACCGGCGGAGTCTAGGGGCTTGGCGGTCTTGGGCCTCGGTTTGAGCTTGGGCTGGGCCCTCGCTCGCTGTGTCGACTCGAGGTTTCGTGACCTGTAAGACCCAGTTCTAGCAAATGCAGCCATACCTACCTGTTGGGGGTGTTAGGAGAGTAGATAAGATAACGCTGTAGAACAGACGCCCACCACGCTGCGCCCCTCCCCATGGCAATTACCCCTGACCGAGGACCCGGGACCCAGCCACACTGAGTGGTGGGGGTGAGAGGAGAGATGCTGAGATGAGGCTTGAGATGCACATGACTTTACCATTCACGTTGGGCTCAGGGGCTCCCAAGGGAAGACCCCAGGGAGCCTCTCCTCTGCCCCCACCCCTGGAGCTTGCAGGGAGGAGCCAGAGAGGCTGAGGTGCTGTCTGGTTAGGCGCTGTGGTTACAGGGGTGACACGGGGTGAGCAGGCCCAAGTGTTCCCCAGCACCTCTCCCACTTCCCCTCCCTGGGCCTCTCCCCTCCTTGTGACTGGGGGGAGGTGACCAAGTAGCCGCAGGGGTCTTTTTCTATCTGAATGCCTGTCAAGGCCTTGGCTTGGCAAGCAGAATCCATAGCTCCCCACATCTGTCCCAGCTTCTCCCCATCCCCCGCGCCCCGCCCAGCCCCCACCCCGGAAGCCTGACATTCCTGGAATGAGGAGGAAAGACAAGCAGATGGAAAATGATGAGACTCGGAGGAGGCGGCATTTCCCTGGCCCGAACCGGCCTCTGACCCTTGCCGGCCTGTTCGGCTTTGCCTGGCCATCTGCCGCCACCCTGCGGCCCACTGTGCCCAAGGCCCGCTCACACCTGCCGTTTCTCTCCCCTGAGGCGATGACGAAGGGGCTGGCCTGGCCCACGCTGGCCTCTGGGAACCTCTGAGAAGAGAAAGTGGCACCCCCAGACCTCCACAGGTACCCCCGGGGGGCCTTTTCTGGCCCCACCCACTGACACGCCTCAGCTAGCGGGAGGGCCAGAGCTGCTGTCACAACGTCTAACACAGAGACGGAGACACAGACAGGCAGACAGAGACGGACAGGAAGGGCTGGCCCCATGGAGCCAGGCAGTGGTGACCGAGGCCCAGGGACCACCAGGCCGGGCCTCAGCGCTCAGGCGCCCTGCCTGGGCCAGAGCTGGAGGGGCGGGCGGAGACGGCGGCAGCCTGGTGGGGCCGGCAGCTGGTGGCCCACTGCTTCGGGAAGACCCAGGCCCGGCAGGTACAGGAGTCTCACTGTCCTGCCCCTTCTCCCCACTCCCCTGTGTGCGGAGTGAGCTTTCTCAGCTTCAACTGCCAAGAAACCAGCCCCTAACAGATCCCTCTCTGTAGTCGCGAAGTTTGAGAGTTCAACCATTTCAGATTTGCTCACTGCTGATTCTAGAAGGCGTTTTCTTCCAGAAGGCTCTATGAGCATTTGAGGACGAGCTCGGCACACTCCCTGATCACTGAGAGCAAAGCCCGGGGCCTGGGCGGCAGGCAGTGTGGAAAGCCCGCCCACCCCACGCCCAGCGCAAGCTCAGGTCTGCAGCCCTTCTGCCCCGGACAGGCTCGCGGGACCCGCCGGGGCGCCGTGCTGGCTTGGAGGAACCCAGGACGGGGCTGGAGAGAGGCTGGTTGCCTTCCCATGCAGCATGGGGTATTCCTGCCAGAGCTCCAGGCTGCTCTCAGACCAGCAAAAAAAGGACCAGGTCTTTTTTTCTCCAAAAAGGCAGAGGGGTTTGGGTGGGGACCCTTAAGGGAAACACGGAACTCAGCCGATGGGTGTTCTGATCTCACGGAACCTGTGGCACCCAAGGTGACAGGTGCGACCCAACCCAGGCCACCTGACTGGAACCTTTTGCTACTTCCAGAGAAGCAAGGGGGCTGCTACAGAGAGGAAGATGATGGGGGGTGAGAACCCCAAGACAAGGGCCCTGGTTTCTAGCCACAGCTCTAGTGTTAACAGTCACCTTCATTTCGTGGGCCCTGCTTCTTCCACCGAGCACTTCCTGGTTGAGTTAAAGGCTGTTACCTGTTAGTCGATTATTCTCATTGCTCTTCCATAAAGTTCCAACTGACTGCCTAAGCCCAGAGGAAGGGGGGCTGGAGGGACCACGGCAGAGTCCCTGTGCAGGGCTGGGGCATGCTGGGCCGAGCAGCCCTGGGGGTGCAGGGCTCCAGATGCCCTATCCAGGTGCAGCACCCTGGAACACTGTTCAGGAGGCACCAAGAGAGAAAGGAACAGGGCAAGGAGGATGGACATCTTCACTCGGACCGAACGCCAGGTGGGAAATCTGAGCTCTACTCGAGCACTGTGGTGAGAGGACAGGGCGGGAGTCAGGAATGGGAACCAGCCAGCGGCCAGGGCTGTGGCAACTGCTCCCTGACCAAAAACAGAGAGAATGGAGGGGTCAGGCTGCAAGAGGAGGAGGAAGTGAGGAAGGCTGAGGTCTACAGGGGCCTCTCAAAGCTTCTCTTGGTGTAACAGCTTTATCAACAGAAGGGAAGTCGACAAGCGGCAAAGCCCAGTGCTCTCGAGTCTGTCCACTGAAAAACGACGTGGCTCTTGAGGGGGCTAGCCTGGAGGCCCTGACCTACTCACAGGGAAGACCCTTCTGCCAGACCCTGGCCCAGGAATCTGCGAGGCACAGAGGCCAGAGCCTGCAGGGGAGCTGAGAGCCCAGGCCCCTCTGAGGCACCTGGCCTGCTCAGTCACCAGCGGAGCCGCCGGTGGCGGCCAGAGGGTGGCAGAATGAGCAGAGGAGGACTCAGCACCCCAATCTGCACCAGGGTCCTGATGCTGCAGCAGACGATGCACACCCTCACGGCCTGGCCTTCCTTTTCATGGCTGACCGCTGAGCTGTGCTGAGCTGCTGTGGGTGGGGTGTGGCCTGGAATGACGGGCTAAGGGGGAGAGCTGGGCCCTGAGCTGACCGGGCAGAGGAGCCCGGTGGAGCAGGAGCGTGGTCTGAGTGGCAGGGCGGTGAGGGAGTGAACCCTGGCATGAATAGTGACGATGCGAGTGTGTTCAGTGGCTTGAGTGGGATGGATTTCCAGATGCAAGAGTGAAGTGACAACTGTCGATGAGGGAGCTCATCAGAGTGGTGGATAAAGGGCTCAGGAGATGAGCAACTGGAGGGGGCGTTGAGGAGACAAACTTAAACCAGGTGCTGTGCACAGGGTGCCACCGGAGCCCGGGATGGGGGGCAAGCGTGTAGGTGGGGGGCCGGGCAGTGTCCAGGAGCACGGGCTGGGCAGCCATGGGGTGCCTCAGCCCAGTCTGAAGCCGGCTGCTCTGCCCCTGGGGAGATGGGGGGTGTCCAGGCCTCAGGCAGTGAGGACTGAGCCCCTAAGCTCTGTGCTGGGGCTCCCAGAGGGGAGCCCCCTGCAGCGGGCAGGGCAGCGCCCAGCCGACTGTCTCTTACCTTTGGTTTTAAAAGCAAAGTGACAGTGCTTGCACACATAGGGCCGGACGTCAGTGTGGGTGCGGATGTGTTTCTTCAGCATGCTGGGCTTCTTGCAGCGAATTCCACACTCCTCACAAACATATTTCCCTCGGCCACGGCCTCGCACATATACATACTCTTCGTTTGATTTGTACCTGTGAGCAACAGGCGTCATGGTAAAAGAAAAACAGGAGGAGAAGAGGCAGGTCCCCACCTCAGGAGGTGCCGCGCTTCCTAGCTGGCCCAGGCTGTCGGGCGCTGGGAGCAGAGGCCATGGAGCAGACAGCGGCTGCGGGGGCGAGCGCCCTGGGCACCCGCAGGCCTCTGCACCTGCCCTGCCCTCAAGACGGGTGGGGCTGCCCTTCCTCTCCCTGCAGGGATCGCACGCCCTGGCGCTTCCTGGAAGGTGAAGCCACAGGTACCAGGTGGCCTCTGTTCCAGAGCTGGCCTTGGCACCAGTATCTGCCCACAAAGAGCAGCCACTCTGGGCAGCCAGGTGAGCAAGAGCGTAAACGGCAACAACCGCAGCAGCTGCCACTGACCGAGGGCTCAGGCTTGCCGGGCGCATCGCTGACTTCGGTCACAGTCGCCAGGAAGGCCTTCACGAGCCCGAGTTCCAGAAGACAGCCAGACGGGGGCCGAACTCGGACCTGAACCTGCCTGCCCTCAAGTCTGTTCCCCTCCAGGAGCCATAACAACGGCGAAGCAGTTCTCTCGAAGCCAGCTGGCACCCACATGAGGGGCGCAGGGCTGGCCTTCTCCTGCCCTCAGAGCCAGAAGCCAGGAGCCAGGCCCAGCCATGTGCTCTCTCCTGACCCATCACCAGCTGAACTGCAAGTTTTTAGGACCCAGGTTCCAGCTCCCTGGCCTCTCACATGGCTTTCGGAATCAGCTGGCATCCCAGGGAGGTGCCAACAGCGTTCTGGAGCCTCTGGTGGGCAGAGAGGCTGGCTCCCTGCTGGGCCCACTGAGGCTCCCTCAAGAGGCACTCATCAAAAGGCCTGTAGGTCACTGCTATATTGTTGGGGTGTGGGGGGGCGTCTACCGAGGTGACAAGGCGCCGGGAGGAAGGCCTGGCCTAATTCCAGGGAGTCCAGGGAGAGCTTTCTGCCTCAGCAGGCCTAGGGACGAGAGCCCGAGGTCCTTGTGGGAAAGTGGCCTCTCGGCCTGCTGCACAGGCCTCCCACAGCCAGCCAGACACCTGCCCACTCATCCTGGACCACATGCCCCTGCCCGGCAGGCTTGGTACCGAAGCTCTGGGACTGAAGGGCGGGGTGGCTGGGGACAGGGATGTGGCAGGGAGATGGCCAGCAAGTGACAGCAGCTAGAACTCCATCCTGCCCTGTTGGGGTCATGAGCTTATGACTGAGACGGTGCCACAGGAGGGGCTTGAAGAGGGGCGTCTACGAGAGGCGGCAGGCGGGCAGCGCTGAGCGGGCACTACAGACAGGACCTGCACATGCTCTCACTGCACCACCTCCCCACTCATACGCAGACACACTCACCAGCCCCACACACCCGCGCACACTCCTTACCCCACCCCCCACACTCAGGAGAACTCCCGCCACACTCACGCTCACACACACGCTCCCAAACGCTCACACACAGCGACTTACACTTGCAGGTTGACACATACACACCGACATACACACCCACACGGCACTGCTCCACCTCCATGTCGTCTCACACCCTCACATAGCTGCACACACCCACATTCAGTCACAGCACACTCACACACACTGACACACGTGTTCACCCTGAAACACACACTTTCACACTCACTCTCACTCCTACTCTTGTGTCTGGGCTTCTCTCTGGGCTCAGGCCAACTCGGAAGCAGCCCCAATTTCACCCCACATTTCTTCTTCCAGAGCAAGCTTCATCCATGTGTGTTCTTCCAGAGAGGAGACACGCATGCACACACACACACACACACACACGCACATACACGCTGCTTTCCAGGAGTGCAGGAAGAGAGCCTCACTTTTGGCCAGCCGGTGCCTTCAAATTGTGTAAACCCCTCTTTCTCCACTTCACGGGCCCTTCCAGCAGGATCAGGCAGGGGCTCTGATCCATGCTAAGGTGCCATCTCTGGTTCAAGGGGGGAACCTGAGGCTGTGCCAGGTGCTGGGAAGAAGAGGGAAAACACGGGGTGGCTGCCTCCCCCGACCGCTTTCACTCCTGAGCAGGTGGCTTGTATCCGAACCAGTCACCTATGCCGACATTTTAACTCTCTGTCCCTCTGTCCGCCTGGGGCCAGGTCTGAGGTGGGGTGCCTTTTTCCCAGCCTGGAGGAGAAAGAAGCCAGGATGGTTTGGGTCTGTTTGCATTGAAGGTTCCATCTCCACCTGACCACCAGCTTCCACTCAGCCCTGCTCTGTGGGTCCAGAACACTCCCTCCCCTTCTCTGCCCACCAAGAAGCATCCTTGATGCCTCCCTTCACCCCACCACTGTGGTGCGGGCTTGAGGTCTGCTCCCCACTGGCCTGTGGCCTTGGCCACTCTATTTGGGCCAACTGAGAGCAGGCACTGGTGTCCATCTCTGCAGTGGCTGTCGGCGGCCATCTGGGTGGGGCAGGAGTCACAATGAGGGAGAATGGAAGTCGGATTGCTCAGGTAGCCCAGCAAGTCCCTGGCTCCGGAATGCCCAGTAGGGGGCGCCCCTGAGAAGCACTGAAGCACCTGTACACAGCTGTAGAGCCCAGGGACTCAGGAGGGCTGATGGAGACTAGAAGTAGGAGGATGTCCACTCAAGAGTGTGGAAATGAGAGCAGGACAGTGTGAGGGCTGAGGGGACATCTGCATAGAGGGACGACCACTTGCTCAGCCGGCCCAGCAGAGGCCTCTGGGCAGGGGGCCAGGAGAGCATGCGTTGGTGGAGCAGGCAGCCTGCACGGTCAAGGTCACGGAGTCCTGCTGGATGGCCACAGGACTCGGACCTTTACCATTGTCTCTGATTTATAGAACAGTGAACCAAGATCCACAAATTCCAGTGACGTGGCTAAGATTACCCAGCCAGCACCCTGCCCCTGTGCAGACTTGCAGCACAGACACTTTTAGGTGATGTTGACCGAGGTTTCCTTAGCAGCACCCTCCTTCTCCAGGATTCCCGGGCCTGTCACACCGCAGATAAACAAGAACAGCCTCATTCTCCACCCAGCCCTTCCTGAAAGGCCGCCAGGGCTGGGTGGGACCCACAGGTGTTGACAGCTGTAGAGGCCCTGAAAAGAGGCAGGCAGGAAGCCAAAAACCATGGTGGGGCCCTGCCTCCCAGGCCCTGCTCCCTGCCGCCAAAGCTGCCCTTCACCTGGGGGAGGTGACCGGCCTGTCGCAGGCTACAAGGCAGCCTGTGAGGACAGGCCTGGGTGCCGCCGATGCCCAGCTCCAAGGGTGGACTGTCTCACTGAGCCTCACCTCTGCTGCCCTACAAGCCAGGGGCAGGTGATCTGGGAAATGTTTGGTTTCATTCTTAAAGAAACAGACTCGCTGCTATGGGTTTCAGAAGGTCTTAGGAGGACTGGGTGCTGCTGAGCAGGCCCAGCATACAGGCTCTTGACCACGGCTGTGGCCCACCTTCCCCTGCCCACTCCCTCTCCTCTTCCTGGCCCGAAAGTAACTTCCTGCTCTGCTGCCTGGGTCAGAGGGTGTGCCAGGCTGCTGGAGGGGTATGGAGCTGCCAGGACCCCTGACGGCTCTATTTTCGTTCTTAGACAACAACTGGAAAATGTAAGAACTCAAAGAAAAGAAACCGTAAACAACCCCTTGATCAGGCAACCTTACTAGCTTACTAGCTTCAGCTACTAGGAAGCAGAAGGCGAGGTGGAGTGTCTGCTCGGGGTTGCAAGCAGCTGACCCCAGGGTGCCCCTGTTTCGGGCAGCCTCTGCAGCTGCTGACTCTGTGATGCTGAGCAGCCCGACTGAGCAGCCTGGGGCTGGAGCTCCAGGCTCTTTGGAGGCATTGCTGAAACCTGCAGCCTCCACCAAGCACAGGGGAGCTCTGCGCAGAGCCCCCCAAGGGGAGGGCCATGCTTCTGCTCCAGTTTCCAGGGAGGGGTGTGCAGGGATTGAAATGGCATTTCAGGCAAGGTGCGGGGTAAGGTTGCTCGCTGTTCCTGGACCGTGCGGTGCATAACAAAGACTCAGCACTGGAACCTCTGTGAAGTCCTGAGCTCCCTGTCACTAGTCCTGTCCCCCCAGAGCCCAGCCCAACAGGCCAACAGGCCGAGAGACTGACGCAGGTGGGCTGAATGGCGCCTGCTGCCCGGCACACCACAGGAACAATGGCAGTGTGGCTGTGGCTGAATTAGCTTGTTTACTCCTATAGCAGTGCTGTAAAGCGGGTGTGTTTACCCAATAAATATTCCATATTTATCCCAACAACTCAACAAGTGTGTGTGTGCCTGACACTGGAGGGGCTGGGCTGGCCCCAGGACTGACCAGAGCAGAAGGGCACGGAGGAGGGAGCAGTGGTGGGACAGTGGTGTACTGGAAGTCAGGGCACAGTCGCTCTTGGAAGAAACCTTCGAGCCAAGTGTACGTGAGGTTGCCAGATCGTCCAGGTTTTCAAGAAACCCACAAATCCAGATTTAAAAAAAGAAAAAAAACTAATAATATTAGTGTGCCCTGAAATAGCTCTTACGGGTGCCAGGCACTACTTAAAATACCTGCCTTGCATTATTACCTCATTTAAACCACTGCGCAGCCCTATGAGCAGGGGCTCAAATCACCCCACTTAAGCAGCAGAAAGTGGAGTCACAGAGAGGTTAAGTAACAAGCTCAAGGTCACACAGTCAGTAAGTGCATAGCTCCAGAACCGGAACTCTGGGTACCTGTCACACAGTTCTGATGCTTCATTACTCTGCAATATGGACGAAACCCTTCAATCACTGTATTAAATACAGTGTTTATGTTACATAAAGTAGGAGGAGGGGCAGAGCTAACCCAGAGCTAAACTTCTGGCTCAGGGTAACTTCCCCAAGCTCGCACAGCCAGTAGGTACATGTCGGCTCGTCAAGCCCATGACGTTTTTCTCCACCAAGCTGCGTTTCCTCTTAATGAGGAGATGAACTCGTGGCCTCCAAGTTACCTTCCTAATCTGAGATTCGATGAGGCTACTCTGCATGCCTATTTTTGACTTTTTATATTTTATTGTAAT